GCTTAAACAGCACTTGGACTCCAGAACTGCTAAAATTTTGAACAATATTCATACACTGGTGCCTCAAAAGCCAAAGCTCCTCTCAGATCCGCTTTGCAAACAAGGGACATTGTGTACCACAGTCTGAGGAAGGTGCAAATCGTCCTTTAGGAGTTTTCTCCTGGAAGCGGGAATATCGGTTGTCAGGTTTTGTGTTTCAAAGGGAATTAAGCCTTTGGAGACAGGGGATGGAATGTAGCATCTGAGAGTGAGAAACTTGCTGAGGGAATAAAGAGGCTGTGTAGACAAAGTGAGGCCCTGGCCAGTGACACAGCTGAGGTTAAACAGCTCCAAGGCTTCTGAGCCCATCTCGTGCAGCTTCATGTGCTTATCCCCCTGCAGACTGCTTCCTTACTTTTGTGTCCCCTTCTCCAGTGCACACACAGGCAACCAAAGTCTGGACTCCTGGCATTAAATACTGAATTTATTTCATTTATTAGCAGTATCTCCTTTATGCAGCAGCCCCACTTCAAAGGATTACAAGTCCAAAATACGTCATAAAGCAAAGCAACCAGACACATGGATTTATGACTGATGAGTGTCTTGAAGCCTTGTAAAGGTTTATTCTTTACTAGCAAGCCCTTGGTGTTGCTCTGGGAGCTCCAGAGCTACAGCAGAGCAGTGATGTTGTATTTCCAGAAGGCTGTTTATGATCAGATCATCTGATCAATAACAATTGAATTGCAAACAATTTTCCCACTCTTTGGCAGCTATAACTGCACTAGTTCACAATCTTACTCTGCAGGTTAGTTCCTCCTCAAACAAAAACTCCAATTTCACTTTTCCCAGGCTTTCACCACCGTTCAGGGTGATGTATAAATCCCTTGCTTTTTCCATTGACTTTCAGTTGTTTTCCTCTAATCACTATCTTAGCTTTTACATTTCATAGGGGGGAAAAAGAAGTCTAACAGAATAATTCTATGTGCCTGCAGCTTGAAAGCATATTCCTAATCACAGAAGATTCATGTCACTGTTATCAAACATCTCACCCCCTGTAAAAGGTATTGATATGCAGAGTAACTGGTACAGACTTTATCTGCCATGTTGACGCTGCTCTTCCAGTTTCCTGTAGCTCAGTTTTTCTGTAAGTTATGCAACTTATATTACATTTATATAACCAGCTCAAGAGAAAACCCCAGGAATTACTGGAGCCAGCAAAATTTTGTAGTTTTACAAGCGTGAAGAAAACTGTCAGGACCTGTTCCTTAAAAACCCACCTGTTTGCAACAGGCCATGACAATAAAACCACTAAATTGTACTTCCTCCCTTCTCCAATTTCAGTCAAGAGAAATTGCAACCATTTTGCCCACGAAAAGCATCAGAAATCTCTTTTTCCAGGAGTTTGCAGCATTGTTTCAGTTTTTTTAAAGGATCAGGTGACCGTGTAAAACAAATCCTGGATGGGATACCTAAAGTGCTGCTAAAGACAAGGGAACAGAAAAATCCCCCTCATCTGTCACTTCCTGTACTGCACTGAAACTACAGCAATAGGTGGATGTGACAATTTAGCTGCCAAAAATCCCAAAATGCTGTTTTTTTGAGACTCCTCTTCTTGATGAAGTTCAAGCATATCTGCCTCACCCCACGAGCAAAACAGAGCAGTATCAGCCCATGAAAAAGCTTTATTGCAGAGCATTAACTGCATGAATTATATACTTGAACTGCCAAAGCCATTTTCTATCAATCCAGCAAGTGTTTGCCATTACCAACACCTGAAACCTAATTGCACTTTAAGTGCTTTAAAGATCGAGAGCAGCCCGTGTGTTTACAGGAATAATGCCCGATCTTTGTGGAATTGCAAACTCTTGGATGGGCTACAAAAGAACAACATGAATATTGCCAGTTTTTCATCCAGACGAAAACATTTTGTCATTTTTAATTGCTGTTGGAAACGAGACAAGCCAGGAACCAAGACCCAGCTCAGTCTTCCCTCCAAAACCTCCCTTCCCAGCCTGATTTCTGGTTCAGAGATTCTCATAACAACCCTTTTCACGCCTCAATACAAACCAGTCCTTAGGGTTTGCTTTTATGTGTGAAAGCTTTGACCTCTCAAACAATGCAAACACCTTCCTCTTTATGTAAACACAGAGCAGCTCTTTCTGCTGCAATTCACACCCAACACAGCTAGGGAGTCCAGGATTCTCCATGGGGGTTCCTGCTGTATTTTGAGCATCGGGAGTCCAGGATTCTCCATTTGGGTTCCTACTGTATTTTGAGCATCTCTTCCTCGTGCCAAATCAGGCACAAGCAAGGCACCACAAAACCTGAGGGCAGTCCTGCAGGTGAAAAAGGTGTTTCACCCCCAAAGCCAGGGAGGATTGGGAGTAAAGCGGTAGGAAAGAGGTGAAGCTCTTCACAGGCATCACTGTCAGGATGCCGCCTGCGAAAACAGAAAGATTTTTCCGCTCTACACAAAAAAGGGAAGCTGGTTTCTCTGAATTCAGTCTTTATTTGCAAGAATAAACTACTCCAGAAATGTCTGTCTAAACTAACAGAATTAGTACCACTTATTCTTCCAGTCAAGAACTCTGGCTTACTCCCAGCCCCACCAAAAGGTAAGGCAAAAGAATTAAAGTGAAAATTGCAGACTCTGTCTGACAGAGGGAAAAATGAGTTTAAGAAGAACGTTGATTTTACTATCTGAGTTTGGCCTGTGGCTGTTCAGGTGCACTTCAGCTTTTTGCTTTCCAAAGCTTTTGTACTAGATATTCTCTCCAGATCTTGCTTCCCATTTGTTTTTTTAAATAAATTCATTGAGCAGACAATTTGGGCACACAGAAACAGTTCAGGATTTACCTCTCAGAAAGGCCACTTTGCAATTAATTCTGATATATTTTCTCAGTGCAGAGCCTTCCAGGAGTTAAGTTGTTCCAGTTCTGTGTTTATATTCTAGTGCAAATTTAAACCCCCTCGCCCTAGATTTTACAAGCTTTTCACCCAACCTTTCTCAAAGGCCAAATATTTGCAGCTTAGTGGTGTATGAGCATATTATAGTCTCTGTGCCATTGGGCTTTGGGGCAAACAGCTTGCAGATACTTTGATAAATAAGATATTTAACAACTGAATCACTAAACATGTACTGACAAAAACGGTTGTAAAATCAGCCTGTGATCACTAACTTTTAAGATCACAAATGACAGCAAGAGCCTGATGTGATCTGTTGTTGGCTCAGAAAGAGCAGCATGTCCTCAGCTGGCATTGCATTTCAAAGCACCTGTCTCGGTGTCACCTAACACAGACCCAGATCAAGGTGCAACTTCCTGTGTGCTTTAAAAACAAGTGCCAGGAGGAAATGCCTCCCAGTCCCCTTATAAGGTCAAAACTGAACTTAATACTGAGCTGCAGCAGCCCAAATAAAGGGGTACCAAAGCACATCCATCCTGCTCAAGAATAAAACTACGGGGAATCTTCTACGAGCAAAATTGGGTCAACTGGAGTGAAGTTTAAAAACCGACACAACTCTGAATTATTGCCATTTCCCACCTAGTAAAAGAATTACAAAAAAAGCCCCCCAAACTTTCTTGCACTACACTTATCTTCCTTCCAGATATGCCTCAAAATATAACCCCTCCATCCCTAATTCATCAGAATTCATTCATGGCTGGGCTTCGCGAACGAAGATTTGGGAAGGCTCTATCAACATTTGTTACAGGCACGTTGGTGACTTACGAGGCCAATATGAGACAGACATATCCGATTGCAAAAGGCACAGCAGAAAGACTCCTTAGATGGTATATTCTGCAAAACACGGTTCTTTCTGCATTGAATTCATCAGAATAGCCACCCCCTTAATCCTCCTAAGCACAGACTCCATGTTTGTTTAAACAGAGCCGGGTCCATCCCCTCCTGCCACACTGAGCCACTGCCATGTTGTCTTTCTGCCATCAATCTCCATTGTTATTGAAGTGCTTCAGACTTTTGTGTCCTAGTTGTCCTCATACATGACCTTTCTACGTGTATTTAAAAAAAAAAATCCCAACTCAAGGCGATTATAGAATCATAGATTGTTTTGCGTTCGAAGGGACCTTAAAGATCCAACTCCCTGTCATCATCCAACACTGCAATGTTTCCACACATTCACACACAGAGCAGAATTTCAGGTGTCTGCAGAAGGTGTAAAGCTGGTTATCTGCTCCCCATCCCTGCGTGTCCCTCGAGGTGACAGATATCCAGCCCTGTATCGTGGCTGTCACCTCCCTTGGGGGTGGAAGATGTCCCAGAAGCGTCCCTTACAGAGGAACAGCTGCCAGACCGACAGCTGGACACCATCAACATTTCAAGCCCGCAGCTTGCCCAGCAGTGGGAGGCAGCGGGATCTCCCCTGGCACAGGGAGCTCGGGGGTCCGCGCTCACCCACGACCACCAGGGGACTTCTGAACTTCTCCCAACGCACCGGCGGCCACAATCGGAGCTGTTTCATTGCGGTTCCTCCTGTCACCGACCCGGCCTCCCCCGCCCGGCCGCGAAACGTGGCTCTGACACCCCTTCCCGGCCCGGCGCTGCCCGCACGGCCCCGCACCCTCCGGCCAAGGGGGAGCAGCGGCTCCGCAGCCGCATCGGCCCCCCGGGATCAGGGAAACCAGCGGCCCCGCACCCTCCAGCCAAGGGGAACCAGCGGCCCCGCACCGTCCGGCCAAGGGGAACCAGCGGCCCCGCACCGTCCGGCCAAGGGGAACCAGCGGCCCCGCACCGTCTGGCCAAGGGGAACCAGCGGCCCCGCACCGTCTGGCCAAGGGGAACCAGCGGCCCCGCACCGGCCCCTCTCCGATAAGGCGAACCCGGTGACTCCGGCCCCACTCCAGCCCCTCTGGCCACGGGGACCCAGCGCCTCCTGACTCCGGACGCGGCCGCCGGGAAAGCCCCGCACCGCCCCCGCGGCCATCGCGGAGCCTCCTCGGGGAGCGCGCCCGCCGCCAGCCCCGCCCTCCCTGCCCGGCTGCCCCCTGCCCGGACCCACTCACCGTTCCGTGTGTCCAGGCGGGGCGGCCCGGCCGCGGCCCCGCGGGGCTCGGCGCGCTGCGGGATCGGGAGCGGAATCGGGAGCGGCCCGAGGCGCTGGGACGGAGGGCGGCGGTCCCGGCGCGGCGGCACCGCCCGCGGAGCATGCGCGGGGCAGGGCCCGCCCGGGGGAGGCGCCTCGGGCCGGCCGGGCCGGCTGAGGGAGCGGCGGGAGGGAGTGTGGGTGGGAGGGGGTCTGTGTGTGGGGTCAGCACAGAGCCCGGGACGGCACCCGGGGGTTCGACAGGAGGTATCTAAAAACACGGCAGTCAATACACTCATCCAGAGAAGCTGTGGCTGCCTCATCCCTGGACGTGTACAAGGCCAGCTTGGACGGGGCTTGGAGCAACCTGGGATAGCAGAAGGTGTCCCTGCCCATGGCAGGAGATGAAACTGGATGAGCTTTAAGGTTTCTCCCAATACACACCATTCTGGGATTCTATGATACATATTTTGACAGCGCGTAGACAGTCCCAGATTTAGAATCATAAAATCATTAAATATCCTGGCTTGGAAGGAGGTACAGGGATCATTCAGTCCAGCTCCTGGCCCTGCACAGGATACCCCAACAATACCACATGTCCCTGAGGGCATTGTCCAAATGCTTCTTGAGCTCTGTCAGCCTTGGTGCTGTGACCACTGCCCTGGGGAGCCTGTTCAGTGCCCACCACCCTCCAGGGGAAGAACCTTTCTCTAATAGTCAACCTAACCCTCCCTTGACACAGCTCCAGCTGTTCCCTCGGGTCCTGTCACTGTCACCAGACTGAAGAGATCAGTACTTGTCCCTCCACTACCCCTCGTGAGGATACTGAAGACCCCAGTGAGGTCTCCCCTTAGTCTCCTCCAGGCTGAACAAACCAAGCACCCTCAGCCGCTCCTCAAACAGCTTCCCCTCCAGAGCCATCCCCATCCTCGCAGCCCCATTGGACACTCTCTAATAATACAGGTTAATGTCTTTTTGCAGGGTTGTCTTTCTTACCCCAGTGCCAAGGCCACATCTCCACAGGTGCCCAGTGTCTGCTGTGTGGTCTGAGCTACCGGTGTGCTCAGATCATCTGTAAAACCCCACAACCCCATCTCCACCCTCAAGCTGATGTGATGAGCCAGTGTAAACAAGTTGGTGTTTACGCCAAAACCAGGAGACACTCACAGTCCTCCTGTCTGCACAGAAAAGAAACCAGTTTCTTCACTGTGGTTTCAAACTCTTGTCAAAGTCACAGGAAACAGCACAAGTGGAAGTAAAATCAGTCAGAAAATGATTCAGTTCAATGAAATCATCCCACTCCCTTCTCACACAAGGACACATATCTGGCATTTTCTTCTGACAGAAGAGCCAATCTGCCACTGCCTTTTGGGGGAATTGTCCTAATAACTGAATCAGTCTTTAAAAAAACCCACCCTGATAAACGTGACTCTTCCCTGTGTAGTGGTGGCTTCATGTAATTCAGACTAAGCACATTGATAACATCTTTTTATCAAGATCTTCCTGTGCCTGGCAGCATAACGGTGTGAAGGGCCCTTTGCTGTTCTGAAGTGTTTACACTTCGATACAGCTACTCTGCCCCAGCTCATCTCCCTTGTGCCTCAGCAGTCCTGAGATTTGACCCTTTTCTCCAGGAAATCAACTCAAAGCTTTTCACCTCCCCCAAAGGAGCTGGGAGTTGGGTGCTGGTGGTGTGTTGAGTGCATGTGTCCAGATGGTTGTAGTTTACAAATTAAGGATAGATAAGCATTGGTTACATTTCCCTCCTCCCAAGAGAAATCAAACCAGCCCTTCCCCACGTGTTTCCACAGCTGTCAGGGAACCAGCAGAGCGTAACTTGGGTGATTTTGCACCATGTTTACCTTTTTCCTCAGCTACATGACATTGGGTCTGGATTAACCATGCGCTGTGGGAAAACACCAGAGTCTCACCCTGTTTCCATCCCTGTCATAACCGTAATTCAAGTTGGAAAAGAAGCTGAGGTTGGAAGGAGAGAGGTTGAACCCTGCAGATCATAGAATGATAGAATGGCCTGGGTTGGAAGGGACCTTAAAGCTCATCCAGTTCCACCCCCTGCTATGGGCAGGGACATCTTCCACTAGACCAAGTTGCTCCAAGCCCCATCTAACCTTGCCTTGGATACTTCCAGGAATGGGGCAGCCACAGTTTCTCTGGGCAACCCGGGCCTGGGCCTCACCACCCTCACAGGGAAGGATGTAAGATATGTGTGGCTGTGCCACTGCTCCCAGGCCTGACCTTTTTTTCATCCCTCTCCCCCATAATCTGCCTGCAGAGGCTGCTTCTCTTGATTATCATAGAATCATAGAATCAGCTGGGTTGGAAGGGACCTCTGAGATCATCAAGTCCAACCCTTGATCCAACACCGCCGTGGTTACTAGACCATG